GGTGGGAGGATGGGGGGGGCGTCTGGGGCTGGCGGCTCTCTTGACCACTGCTGCTCACCTTAGGGTCACTAACTGTTGCTGTTAGACAATCCCAGCTGCCTCTACCCTTTAAGAAAACGAAAGCTTTGTTTCCACCCACCCACAGCCTTCCCTTCGGTCCTGCCTTCTCCTTTCCATTCCCACTCTCTGGAATGCTACTTGGCTTGTTCTAACCTTATGACGTGCTTTCCCCTTCTTGCCCCACATATGGTCTGTGGGGGGCTCAAAGGCTGTGACCCCCTTCCTTTCCTTTGACCTTCCTTCCCTGGAGATATTTCCTAATATAATAATAAATGTATATAGATATTTTTTATATATATTAAAAATTAAGGTACTGCTGAATCCTCCTGTATTTTCCTGCTCTGCAGAGACCCCTTTCCTGCGCCGTTTTTCTCTTAACCCCCACCCCCACCGTGACCACCACCTTTTCTACCAGTTTTGCTCCTGCCTGGAAACGTACTAAATTTCTGCTGTTATGGAAATCTTGGGTCAGTGGCAAGACTTCTGCTTTTCCAGAAGTCTCCTCTAGGAATATTACAGGTGTTTTTCTTTTCTTTTGTTTTTGGCTAGCTGGATGGACCGGTTAGGCACGTGGACTGTCGGGGAGCCTTATTGTATTTGTGGATGCCATGATGGGCAAACATTGCCCATCATGGAGGAAAAATGGTTTTGTGTTGCCATGCATACTCAAGTGTGGGCAACTGACCACAGTGGGTAGACCCAGGTAGGATGGTGTATAGGTTGCATTGCTTAAAAAAACAATGCATAGGTTGCATTGATTTTTTAAAAAGCTAGCAATTTGACTGCAGCATTAACTGCAAAGCAAAATGGCTGCACTCGTTAGCGTGAGCTAAAAAGATCCAAACAACCACAAATACCCATTTTGAGTTGTTTCCTGCGGAATGGCAGCCCTTTCGTGACCAGCTAGTCTTGTCCATGTGCACAGTGTATCACTAATAGTTTACACTGAACTAAACCTAGAATGAGGAAAGATTTTTTTTCCCTTCCTTCGCAGTTATTATGTGGCAAGAGTTTTGTTGCATTTCCTGACTGTTTGAAGGACAGAGGAAGGAAGGGGGGGAAAGGCTTCTTTGCAAACAGAGGCCATTTTGATTTCCCGGCAAGAGAAAACTGCCATGGCAGCTGTGAATGCAGTTTGTCAGTCTTAATTGTTTAATCCTCACCATCCCTTGTTTCTAAATAGGATCTGCTCTGACCCGGTTAGTTCTTTAGTGTACAGTTGTTTTAATCTGTTATTATAGTGGCACATTGCACTAAGATGAGGTACAATAAAATTACAATTTAAAAAACACTGTTTTCCACTGTAGCTGAAGGGGGGAAAATATTGACAGAACCCAAATAATGCCTCTTTAGATACTATCATTAACTGATGGGAGATTTTTGGTTCTCTATATCCTTGCCAGCGTGATCTCCCTTTTCCTGCTAATATCTATTGAGCAAAAGAAGTGTGTTCTAGGAAAGCAAACTTAATTTGGCAAAGGAGGTGTTTAACTTTCATGGCTTCTTATTTTTTTAATAATGATTAAATTGCATCCCTCTTTTTTTGTTAATGGCTGCATCTTCGAGAAGTCGTTACCTGTGTGAATGAAAGACATAACTTAAAATTCCTTTTGCTTTTTAACTTTTTTTTTCCGGGGGAGGGGAGGGGAAATAAAGAGGATTGTTCTTGGTTTTTATTTGCAGAATTATTTAATTGCCTGTATCAGATTTACTGTAAAAGATGAGAAATAAAACTTTAAAAACCTGGCTTTGCATTTATGCTATTGGTTTGTAAGGAAGGGGGAGCGCACGGTTATGGACGTTGCAACGAAAGCATTTAGAAAGCAAGCTTTTTTGTACGGATCAGTGATGGTGTGATTCTGGCTGAAGGCCTCAGAGCCTGCAAGGCTGGGCTGCTGGCAGTGGTTGCTAGGATACCAACCATGGTGTGGTGTGGTTTAATGGCTGCCGCTAGGCCGTACAGAGTTACTAGCTAGGTTGCTAGGTGCCACAGAAAACCGTGGTATTTTTTGGGCCACAGCGAGGTGGGATGTTCTCTCTTGGCTAAAAACCCCACAAGCTTTGGCTTTGGGGCCTCAAAGTTGTCTTTCTAGGGCTTTTGGCCTACAACTCCCAAGCAGTGAAGGATTATGGGAAATGCGGTCCAGCCCCAACAGGAGGCATGGCGGCAGCTGCCTGCCTAGTACAGCAATGGTCCCCAACCTTGGGCCTCCAGATATTCTTGGACTACAACTCCCAGAAGCCTTCAACACCAACTCTGCTGGCCAGGATTTCTGGGAGCTGAAGTCCAAGAACATATGGAGTACAGTACTTAGAGCAGCCATTCCCAGACTTTGGGGGGGTCTCACTTGTAGGGTTTTTCAGAAGCCTTCACGCCTCCCTTTTACCCTTTTCCATCCTCTTTTTAAACAAAATATGAACCTTGTTTTATAAAACTGAAAATTAAAAAAAATGATTTAAAAATGTAAGAAAATAAAAATTTTAAAATATTCTAAATTTTAACAAAATAAGCGCCCATAGATCTTCCTATCCCAAGAAGTGGATTTAAAATGTAAGCTGCCTCAGAGCTTCTTGAGGAGAAAGGGGTATAAACGGTTTAAATAAACAGGTGGCCCTCCTCATGTTATTGGACTACATATCCCATCACCCTTAGCTAGCACGAGAGATCATGGGAGTTGTACTTCCAAGGCTTTGGTCCTTGTGCCATGTTGCATTGTTAATGTTTATCCATTGATTTAAAAGTGTTAATATGCTCATTGGGAGGGGGGCAGATCCTCCCATGGAAATACATATGGAATTTAAGAGTATACATCACAATGTTAAAAAATTTGCACAATTTTAAAAATTAACTGTAAAGATCAGATGTGTGGCTCTATTTGTCCCTGTTAGCAATGTTGTAGCCCTTGGGAGTTTTCTGGCATCGCTGCATATAAAAAGGGGGTGCTCTTTGATGGTGCCCAGTTTTCCATATTTCTTCGGGCCCTCTGGCATTTGTCAGCAAGCTAAGATGCAAATTGCTGTGGGTGACATATACAACATTGTGCCTTTCCCCCCTTGTAATGTAGTTCCTACTGATTCCCAGTGCGGTGTGTAATGGAATCACTGACAAACAATGACTCTGGAGAGCCAGGTTCGAATTCCTGCTCAGTCATGGAAACTCACTGGAAGAGCAGAATGAAATTGTTCACTTATCTTGAAAACCCCATTAGGGTCACGATAAATCAATTCCGACTTGGCTGCACGGAATACACTCAGTGTATTACTGCACTGTGGTATTTTATGTGCGGTGTGTAATGGAATCACTGACAAACAATGACTCTGGAGAGCCAGGTTCGAATTCCTGCTCAGTCATGGAAACTCACTGGAAGAGCAGAATGAAATTGTTCACTTATCTTGAAAACCCCATTAGGGTCACGATAAATCAATTCCGACTTGGCTGCACGGAATACACTCAGTGTATTACTGCACTGTGGTATTTTATTTATTTATTTGCGATAAATCAATTCCGACTTGGCTGCATGGAATCCACACAGTGTATTACTGCACTGTGGTATTTTATTTATTTATTTGATTTACATACTGCCCCATTAGGGAGAAGCACTATTCTGGGTGGTTTACAACAATAGATAAAACATACGGTACTAAACAGTATAGATACAAGAATTAAAACATTAATAAAATAAAAGAGGTGACAAGAATATGAGGCAGATGTTTATATACAGTATTTGTTTGTTTATTCATTTAAAATATACCAAATATTTTTCCTTAAGAAGGATTCAAGGCGGCTTACACCATTAAAAGACAACATTTAAAGCTCACAGTATGCAAATACTAAAAAGGATCAAACACCATACTTTTTAAAAAAAAGTAAAGAAAAGCAACAAAAGGGCAATATGGCACAAAAATCTATTGAAAAAATCACATACCGGTAAGTGGTTCTTGAGGAAACGCCTGAAGAGAAAGATCTTTTATCTGCTTGTTTTTTTTAAAAGTAAAGAAAAGGAACAAATCATACGTAAGGGCAATATGGCACAAAAATCCATTGAAAAAATCACATACCGGGAGGTGGTTCTTGCGGAAATGCCTGAAGAGAAAGATCTTTTATCTGCTTGTGGAAAGAGAGCTGAGACTGGGCCAGCCTGGCCTCCAGTGGCAGGGAGTTCCACCGTCTGGGAGCAGCCACTAAGAAAGCCCCTCCTGTGTCCCCCACCTTGAGGCTTATAAAGGGTAAAAGTAGGACTTTTAATGGCCATTGTGATATTGTTCGATTGATCTCGATGTGCTCTGCCCTGGGATTGCTTCTCAGGTGCACATTGTAGAGCTGGACGCAGAGTAGAATGTGGCACACATAAATAAATAAATCATTTGATGTGCCCAGGAAGCAGTAGCAATGGGTTGGGGAGTGTTATATGGGGGGGGGGGAACCCTGGCGAGAGCAAACCCTCTCCTTCGGAGCCAGACCGGAATGAATGGCTTTCATTCAATCCTGGCTGGTGCTTTTTCTTTTCATTGGGTTGATGGGGAGAGGAAGTTGAAGGGAGGGGGGGGCTTAAAAGGAGCATTGGCCTGGCCTCTTATAAAAACCAGATCCCCTCCCCAGGTCTTTGGGGAAAAGTGAGACTGGGAGAGAAATCTGCGTACTGTAGAGGGGGGTCAGCATTTGAGAGAGACCTATATATTTCCAACGGGGTCAAGGAAAAGCTGTCCCATAAAACCCCAGCATGGAGAAAGTGTATAAAGCAATTCTTCAGCAGCATCACCTTTTTCCCCAGTGTAGCAATCTCTGCATTCGTATGTGATCCGCGTTAATGAATGGGGTACGTCTTGCGGGGATTTTACCGTTTGAGCTCCAAATTTTGATCATCATCTCTTGTTTCCAGGGGCATCTTCCCGGCTCTGCAGAGGTTTGCAGATCTGAA